GTTTTGTTAGTGGAGAACCACACGAAGTTTTTACTGAAAGAACATCCGAATATCATCCATCAGTTGAAGCTAAAACACAATTGTCCGTATATGTGGTATCCGATGTTGTTCAAAATCCAACAACGACAACAAGTGCTAACAATGATGATATAAATAATTCTCCAAGAGAAAGATTACTATCGTCATTAATTGATCCTGATATACAAGCGCATTTTTCATCAATAAAAGAAGTAAATTTTGAAACATCGACCTCTGCGCTTTCGAATGAAAACAGTTTGTATTCAATCAACATCGAACACAAAATGATACGAAGTCGTAATCAAGTGTCATCAACAAAACCACCAAATCATGTTTCTCCATCAACAAAACCATCAAATCATATTTCTCCATCAACAAAACCACCAACACATTTTTTTCCATCAGCAAAACTACCAAAACATGTTTCTCCATTAACAAAACCACCAAATAATATTTCACCATCAAAAAAACGTCGACATAGTCCTGAAGGACCAATATCATCACGCTTAAAACGCGTAAAACAAAGAGACAAATAAAGACTGAACTTTTTTAGTTTCATTTGTATTACTATTGCTGACTGGGTTTTCTTTTTCATACGGTACATTCTCCCTATAATCACTAAAGTGAACTAGACGCTGCTTCCATAAACATCTTCTATTATCTTTCACATAAACAAACTTGTTTTATTTTTTTTTCGCACATTGATGAATTGATTTTATCTTAAATAAATTGAGACCTACCATAATCAAGTAAAATCTGTCACATATAGCAATGAAATGGTGCCCAAAAGCTACAAAAAACAATGAAGTGTGTATCCGCTTCCTCAGACATTCCACTGAGAAGTCAGCTATCGGAGCCATTAGATCTACTAGGGAGTTGAAAATTTACTCCAATCCAAAAAAATGATACCCGCTTATAGTAAAAACAACTCAAACGATCATATTATTCACAACTATTACTTTCAAATACGTTCAAGTCTTTACTCTGTTTATAAGATCAATACGCAGAATTAGGTGTGTTTGGACACTATCTAAAATAGAACATACCAACTCTTTAGGAATTTAGGTTCTTCGTGAGCTTCTGATATAATTAAGTTACATTTAGAATTAACGAATTCGTTTATGTTCTATTTTAGTTTGTTTAAAATGCCATGACGCGTGAATTACCATCAAAACAAATTTTTTTATTTAGGTTCGTGAAGATTCTTTAATTAGGAAGTTATCATCAGAGTAAATATTCTTTTTCTTTTCAGCTTCAACAAGAATTTTACATTGGTAAGTTATTACTGCAAATAATGAATTCGTTTTTTTCTCTTTAGGTTCGTTGAAAATTCTATTCCTGGTCAGTCATAATTGAATCTTATCAATTCTTCCATGTTCCATTTTTGTTCCTTGCAAGTTCTCCTATTGGTAACTTTCCATTAAAATTAAATGATTTTTTTATCTTCTATGTTAAATTCCTGAAGAATTCTAAAATAGTAATTTACTCTTAGAAAACAATAAACTAGTTTATCTCTCATATTAACTTATTTTCAATTCCATTATTGGTAAGTTATGCTAAGCATTAATCAACTCATTTTTTTCTGTTTAGGCTTGCCAAGAATTTTACACATCTCAGTTACCATTGAAGCGAATAGATTCTTCTTTTTGTACATTCGGTCATGGTGAAATCCATTATTGATAAGCTATGATCAGAATTCATCAATTTGCTTTTTTCCTATTTAGATTTGTGAAAAATTTTACGTTCGTAAGTAGCCATTGAAATTAATGTATTTTTTTCTTTTCTATTTAGGCTCGTAGAGTAATCTATGTTGGTAACCTATAATTTAAATTAATCAATTTGTTTCTTTTCTACTTTAGGTCCTGATGAATTCCATTATTGGTAAGTTTTCATTGAAGCTGATCAATTTGTTTTGTTTTATATTTAGTTTCGTGAACAATTCTACATCTGTAAGTTACCATTGAAATCAATCGATTCTTCTTTTTTTACTTTAGGTCGTGATGAATTCCATTATTAGTAAGTGTTGATTTTAATTAATCAATTCGTTTTTTTTCTATTTAGCTTTGTGAAGAATTTTATGTTGGCAAGTTATGATTAAAATTAATCAATTCGTTTATTTTCTACTTTAGGTTCGTGAACAATTTGAAGTTGGTAAGTTGCCATTGACATTAATGAATTGTTTTTTTTTTCTATTTCAGGTTGTGGAGAATTCTATTTTTGTTTGGTTCTGATCAATGTGACATAATTCGTTCGTTTGCTGTTTAGAATATTGGTAACTTTGGTATCAATTTCGTTAAATTGGATTGTGTTTGAATCGCTAGCGAGTAGACTATTTCAGTTTTCATGGAACGAAACTGCAAGTACTTGTGTTTTTTGTAACAGTAGAAGATCTGAATAGTTAGGTAATTTATATTGGGTAGCTTAGTAGACGATAATTGGAATGTTCTTAGACCCATGAGAAGGTACGGTTAACAGAGTGATATCGTCGGTTTATGTTGCCTTTCAGTGAGCTGGAAAAGCAGGGGGTACGAAAGAGTCTTGTATTGGATAGAGATGAAAAACTGATTTCGTACTAGTGTATTATGTTTTTGAAACCGGTCACAAATACTGCTGAGGATATTTTATGGAATCCTAAATAGGAAGCCAGTTTTTGATGGATAAACTTTATGGTCTTTCACGGAACCTAATTTGTACGAAACCTAAAACGGTTTCGATTTCGTTTCAAAACTCGGAACCTTTTTGGGTTTCGTAGCATATCTTTTTTTTTTCAGTGAGGGTCTCAAAGTTCATAATAGAACGATTGATGAGATTATCTCAATTTTTTGTCACATAATATAGAACCAATGTTGCATTCTTGTCAAAGTTATCACCTCGCTGATAGATGGTATCTCTTTGATAATTGATTTGTTTTCTTTGGCACTAGAGATCATTCAGTTCGATTCATTTTTGTGTTAATATTAGCAGAGATAAATGAGAACACTTATTTGTTCCGTTTCAACTTATAATTCGTATTTCTAGAAAAGTAATCTATGCCCAAGAAATAATCTTATTCTTTAACAAAATAATGATTTCTGATTATAAACGATGTTAAAAACTCACAATATATAAATTATGGAGAATAAAATACTCTATGAAACAGGTCATAAGCACATTATGATCCTTAGACATAATCCTAGTCTCAGAAATGTTGTCTCCTATACATTTTTCTTTATTGTAAACAAAAAAGCATTATAAAAGAAATCTTTCAATCGTATTGTTTAGATTTTTTCTAAATTGTCCCTGAAAATTTATGAAATGAACGTTGATCAGTTTTTCAACTAACTTTGTACGAACAAAATTTTCTATTTATTAATATATCAATACTTATTCATTGCTTATATAATATCTAATTTAAGAGAAGTAATGAAAATCTACACAAATATATTAATGTATGTTGCGTCAATCTTCATAATATCAGGGTATCAAGTACAGAATGAAGTCCCATATATATCTTTTTTTTCTTTTTTTGTGACATCGAGTGGCTATAAAAGTTTGACTCTTCGGATAACAACTAACTATCTTTCAGAACATCCAAGACAATATCCGATACTTGTTCAAACTTGAAACTCGACTTAGATTTACTTTTCTACATTTGAAACTACACCAGGTAAGTTGTCGTAATCATCTATGACAAAAATCAAAACCAAATTCGATAGAAGTACTTTTATTTAGTTTATTCATTGGATCTGAAACTAAGCAGAAAAAAAATGAAAATTTGAAGCATACTGAATCAAAAGTTGGTAAGTAAGAAAATATAGATCACAGGTGGTATTTTAATGAACGATAACACTTACTATGTTATTCGAGCAAATATAAAGTTACAATTGAGAATGATGATACTAGAAAAAAAAGGTCAGTAGAATTATAGTTTGATCTTTCATGTATAAATTTGTCGTTGGCATTAATAAGATGCAATTACTCAAAGCGCTACGAAAATTATCTATTTATATCTGTTTAGATCTACAAATGTAGTAGCACAATTTTTAACATGAAAAGATTTTTATTTTACCTATATTTGAATACTATCTTTTTTTTCTTTTTCTATATGATCCGATGGATTATTTTCATGTGATCAATACAAAGTTTATGTTACTCTTATTTCTCTTTTTCTCGATTAATTATTTGTGTGGTGATCAGGTAAATTTCTTCTGGGAAAGAAAGAAAATAAATGTTTCTGTTTTCGTTCTCGCAAAAGAAAAATTTGCAGGGCATTTTAGGACATGTAATTTATTGCATGAAGATTAAAAGAACGAAGACAAAGATTTATGCAAGTGCGTAGTCAAATAGCACTCTGCTATAGAGTCCTAGATCCGAAGAAAAGAATTTTCTCTCCAAAAAAATTTCAAATTTCATCTTAATGAAAAATTCTTGCATTCACTTGAATAAGATTTAAGGCATAGATACTTCGTATGAGATTTCTCGTTGGAAGTCCAATTATCATGTATGTAATAAAAACAGTGATGAATATTAATTATCAAAATATTTATTTTTCTTTCACTGCGAGAAAATTTTATTTGGAAAAGTTTTATATCGAAATACTGATAACTACCAATCTTTTTCATTAATGAAGAACTTCTGATTTTTAGTAGACTGAATTCTTTTTTCCAAAAAAAGTCGACTCTGACAAATTATATGTTTTATATCAGTTTAGTATTCGAGTATAAACTTGCTCATATTAAAAACAGGTGACAGAAAAGTTAATTTACACGAGCTTTTCAGCTAGCAAGAAACTGGTTTAAATTTTTTCATAAATACTTATTAAGATTACACTTCTAGATTGTCAAAACGTAAGAAAAAAAATGAGTTATTTATCGATCTAACATTAATAGAAAAGTACTGATGGTGTCAGAAGTTATTTAGGCTTGAACGACCATCATTTGATAGTATGAAGAAAAAAACTAATTCAAAACTCCAGTGTTTCTCACCGAAAAGTACTCAAAATCATTTCCGTTAGTCTTTATCAATTTGTAGAGCGTCAAAAATTACGGAATCTATGAAAAATTTGTGCATAAAATAGGCAAAATGATGATTGACAATTTCTTCATTGTTTGTAGGGTGTGCGGGTGTGGATGTCGATCCGTTCTTTACTCCCCCGCACACAGTGGGCAATTTTCATAGGGCATGTGGACATAACTTATTTCATGTTAAAATCGCATTTTTTCACAGAAATACTAGTTTCTACTCTTCAAAAAACAATCACTGACGAAAAAAAAACGTCAAATCCAAAAAAATTTTTTAGTGAAAAATCCTTGAGGGGACCCTTGGCCTAATTTTTTCTCAAAAACCTTTTAATTTGAAAAGCTAACAAATCATATATCATTCGATGCAGTTTTGTGCGCTGATTCTAAATATGATGTTTTTATTGAATAAAAACATCCCTGAATCGAGAAAAATGTGAAATACCTGAAAAACCATGGTTTTTTCGAAATCCTTCTGTATGGTCCAGGGATATTTGTGCTAATTTGTGCTAACTGTGGTGAGAGAGGTCATATGGGAGAACATTCTGGCAAAGTTTGAATAAGTTTCAAATTGGGCGCTGGAGGGCGCGCTCATTTTACTAATAAAGCCGTTTGGAAAAGCACTGTGGAAAAAAACAAAATTTTTTTCTAAGAAATCTTCAGTAGTAATAGACCATTTTTTTATTATAAATCGGTAGCGGACATTATGCAAATTTATAATATGTATTGTTTCTAGTTGTCACTTCAGTGGATTTTGTAAAAAAAAATGTGTGTTGTATAGATGGCGTTATTTTCAGGCTGATTTTTAATTATTTTCAATTAGCTCATTTTCCACTCTACTTGAACTTTGTAGTAAAACTTTTAACGCCATTAAGTAGTCCATAGTCCGAAGTATATCTGGCACTAATTGAATCTTGCAAAAGTGCACTTTCAATTTTTCACCTAATGTCCACTTGATTGCCCACTGTGCCGCACTTGTTCGCTAAGTAATAATTTTAAAAAAATAAGAGAAAATGTTATCCGATGATTTGTTCAAATGATAATTTATCGTTTAATTATTTTTATAAATTGTAAATATTCTACATATTCATAAAACAGAAGTTCAATAGATTGTATTTACCATAGAAAATAAAAACTATGCTATTAATAAATATTTATATTGGTTATAGAATATAAAACCGGTAATACAACTGGGACGATCATCTGGAATATTATTACATATAACATCATTACCATCACCATATGGGATTGGTGATTTGGGTCCAGAAGCTTTTAAATTTATTGATTTTTTAGTAGAAACAAAACAAAAATTATGGCAAATATTGCCTATATATCAAACCAATTCACCATCACCTTATTCAGGTATGAAATAATTTCTAATACACAAAAAAAGGTTTTCTAGTACTTCTCGTTTTATGAACATCTTCGAAGTAATAAAGTACTAATCCTCCTCTCTTCAGAATAAAAGCTCACTGGACTTTTATGTGATCCATGTTTTTAATGTTTTTGAAAACTTTAAAATGGCCAAGTAAGAGAAGCAGAATTATGAATATGTAAAGTTTCTTAGTCGAAGAGAAAAACTATTACAAAATAAAGATATTATATTAAGCAGCATATAATCATTTGATTTTTAACGGTGCAGACTATCAACTGAATTGTTCCAACTTTTTATTTTTCCATTTGTACCTTTTTTCGGAAAAAAATGAAAACAAGGCGTTGTAGATGATGAAATCGATATTCTTTGAGTTTTAAAAAAGGTTCATCTATCAAAATGATACTTTCTATCATTGAACTTTAAATCAAATCAAAGTGTTGTTGGTAATGTCTAGAGCCTCACAACTGGATTGAACATACAGTAAATCTGTCTTTGTCAGAAGATCTTGTTTTGAAACGAAAAAATTTTCAAAATCAGAAAAATATTTTCTGACTTTTATCTTGGAATCTTTTTTTTACAATAGGTGTATCAGCATTTGCAGGTCATTCATGGTTAATATCACCAGATAAATTATTAGACAGTGGTTTAATATCTAAAGACGACTTAATATCAATTGATCGATCAAGATTCAACCAATCATATGCTAATTTTCAACAAGTAAAGAAAAACAAAGAGAAGATACTGAAAATAGCATATCTTAATTTTAAAAATAATAATTCGCAAGCATCAGAAATTTTAAATGACTTTTTTCAACTTGAAAAATATTGGATTGATGATTTTACATTATTTATGGCAATCAAAGAAAAGGTAACATAAATTAGTCTTTTAATGAATTTATTCTACTATTGCATAAGTATAATATTTGGTTGACTGAAAGACAATTTTTAGAAAGAAAAATTTATTTTAATTAGTATTGAGTCTGCGAAAAGTTACTAGAATTCTTTTATTGGGTTAGAACGTTTCTAAACACTCCGTAAATCATAGAAAATCACGTTTACTGAGTATTACAATGAAATGCCATACTAAGAGATAGTGTTTATACTTTAGTGAGATTAAATATATTGTTATATAGAACGAAGCTTTATGATACGTTAGTGATTCTTTGAGATAGATGGAACCAAAGAAGGAATCTTTCCAAGTAAGAAATAAGATTACCGCGACTGATATGGTTAAATGTTTGAATAGTCGAAAGGAAATAGCGGATGAAATATTAGGGAATCAATAAAAAAAAAAGCTTTTTTATTAATCGTTACAGGGATACATAAGTTTTATTGTTACGTACCAGTCTGTTCTGGCGTCATGAATTAACGAAGAATCATCGGAGTTATCAAAATTTTCCAGTTTCCTAGGTGATCTGCTTTTTTGTTTTGAAATTTTCTTGATTTACGTCATTTCATTTTAAAAATATTAGAATAGTATTGTTTATTTAGTATAACGATAGTATATGGTCTGAGTGGCCTGAATCTTTACGTAGACGTGAACAATATGCTTTGAAAACAATCCGTGAACTTGAAAGAGACCGTATAGAATATTATGTATTTGTTCAATATATATTTGATCAACAATGGAAAGATCTAAGAAAATATGTCAATGATTCTAAAATAAAAATAATTGATGATATACCTATGTATGTTGATTATGATTCAGCTGATGTTTGGTCAAATTCTTACATGTTTCGATTAGATCACAATGATACAATGAAACCAACTTTTGTTGCAGGTATGACAGTTTTAGAATGTTACAATGTTTCGTTTGAAATTCGAACAGCTGAAAAACATCTATGAATGTTCTAGTGTAGCTTTTGATTGTTACTCGCTTATCTTATAATTTGATAGGTGTTCCATCTGATCAGGGTCCAAATAAAGGACAAATTTGGAACATGCCAATATATGATTGGAATAATGACAATGTCAGAAAAGATTTATTTGATTGGTGGATAAAACGCTTACATAAAAAATTATCAACTGTTGATTTTCTTAGAATTGATCATTTTCGTGGTCTAATAGCACATTATGTTATACCAGTTGATATTATAACACAAGAACCTAATACTACAGAAGCATATTGGGTTAAAACACCGTAAGTTCAATGAATTAGAAATCGCCTGATACCATCTCTAATACTAATATAGATATTTTGGGGAACAATGAGTTCTTATTAAAATTATTTTCTATAACGTATTTTGTATTTTAGTTGGTATTCTATTGATCTTGTGGATCTTATAAAATATAAATATTATCAAAAGATTTTTGGTTAGTTACTTATTACTATAGGTCAATGTCTTGATCCTCCTCAGAATTATAAAGACAATTCAGTTTCGAAATTTGACTTGAAACTTTACGCACAGGCAAGGTATAATCAAAATAGATTATTGCGATAAAATTTTTTACCTTTGTCTTTCTGTATTTTGATTTAACGCATGTCTAAATGTTTTAAATCGTTTTACTAATATTTTTAGTGGTCATGAATTCTTGACAGCTATAACAGAATCACTTGGTTCAGATATTCCAGTAATTGTGGAAGATCTAGGTGATCTTAAACCAGAAGTATTTGAATTACGTGATCGTTTTCACTTATGTGGTGTTAGAATTTTACAAATGGGTTTTTACTCCGATGCAACTAATATTTATGCTCCTCATAATTATATTCCAAATTCAGTGGCATATACAGGTAGTAATTCATCTATATGTAGACAAATAATACATTCGTTTTTGTAATCTTCTGTAACACTACAAAGAGGTGCTGAAATTTAAATGACTGAATATCGTTTATGATTGTTCTCTAAAATGTTTAAGTGTTTTTTTTTGTGCTACCCTTATTAACAATTAAGCAATCAAAGCATAGAGTCTTGGCGAAAGAAGAGAAGAAAAGCAGCTCTAATTTTCTAGAGACGTTTTACCTTAAAGACTTCATGTAGTGAAACTCAAGAATACATGTGAATTACAGGAGTTAGAGTGTTTTAGAAAATTTTTTATATAAAACAAATATCGCATTCTATATTTACAATTGTATTAAAT